GCTCTGTGATTTAGTGGTTGCCATTGTGGCTTGTCATCAGGCCAATAGGAGAAGAACCCAAGCTCCTTTGTGACAGGTTTTCTTTTGTCAGGAGCCACCCTGTGTTCCTAGAAGACTCTTTTTGGTCTGATTGCAGCCAAAGATGTATTAAGTTGCCTAAAGTCCAGCAGTAGCAGCTTCTCCTTCCTTTGTTGGTTTGAAGTCTCTCCTCAGAATTGGGTGATGATTTTCAATTGCAAGTTAGCAACATCAATAAAGTCATGTGAACCACAGCTGTGGACTGCTGCAAAATCCTGAACCAAAGTTTTCCACCAAACAAGTAAACAGTAGAAATAGAGAAGCCTCCCTCTCCTGAGACACACACCAGTGGAGACACAAACTTCTCAATCTAGCACCAAATCAACCACCTAGTGCTCTTGAAACTCTCATGTGAAAGAGAATAAACACTGACTTCTGGCTTTAGTGTGGGAGCCAGGAGCAAATATATATGCAATATTGCTTTATTTGGAAAGCCACTAACTCACCACCAATAACAAAAAAATTTATAAATCTTGCAACTGCAGATGGTTCAACAAAAGGCTACAAATATTGCTTGAACCTGCAGAATAAAATAATCATCACTTGAAATGATGCCAGGTTGTCCCAGGTAACTTGCTGAAAACTGTGACAGCCCATGGATGCCAGCCACAGAACTTGTCTCCTTTACAAGACACCACAGATCTCAACAAATCCGCTGTGGCTTTGTTTTCTCTCACTTGCTTTCCTTAGCTATTCCTTGGAGCCAGAGAGTAATTAACTGAAATTAATTACAAGTGTTGATTAGAATTTGTTTTCCAGTAAGTTTGAGCAGAGCCCACCAGGTAAGATGGACCTGAAGAACATACTACCCAAAAAAAGTCAGAAGTAATTACCACACTGGGCAAACATTTCTGCATTTTTATTCTTACAGTTTGAAGTTGATGCTTTGTTGGCTAGGTATTTATGAAAATGACTGGTCTTTCACCATAGTAGATTTTAAAGTACAAATGAGTGCAGTGCAGCAATATGCTATCAGCAGTGACTGAATGCAAGAAAAACACGCATGCAAGTCATTATTCCTAGTTGATTTTCTTCTGGTTTGATAGGGCACATTCTGTAGAGCCTTGAAATCTTAAACTAAACCATTTTGTCTTCACTTATCCTCTTGCGGACCTACATATAGGACAAAATGGCAAAGTGTTGGGCAATATACTAATTTCTTTCTCTCTGCTGAGCTTTTATTCTTCATTTCTTGGCTTTATATATGCAAGCGAGGTTCAGGGGTAGATTGGCTTTCATAACAAATAAGTAATACATTGGACAGAAAGTAAGATTTTGGTGAGATATGCATCTTGATTTTCTAACTTCCCTGGCCTGATACCATTTTTGTCAGTGGCTTTTCTGACTCACATGAGTAAGGACACTGTTGCCCTCCTTGAGTTACGTGTTTTGGAGAGGATGAGTAAACTTGTTGTCAGCCTGTCTGCAGCACAGCGCTGTTATGCAGCAATTCTGCTGGAGAAACACTTCTGTTTTGGAAAGACACAAAACACAAACATTTTCACGCAAGGTCTTAGAGGGGTCAGAGAAATCAAACTGATTGGCTAAAAAGAAGCAGAGGAACTATGTACCTTCATTTCCCCTTCAAAATTAGCACCTTATAGGACCACGTCTTCAGGAAAATAACCAGATTGGAGGGATAACTGAGGCATTTCTTTACTTTCAGTCTGCAACTTAGATCTGAACAATACACTTGCAGGGTCCCAGAGCATTTGGGAAGGCTTGAATTGACAGTCGTGGGAAGCAATGAAAGCTCTTCTGTTTTTTAAAACTGGCATTGACTAATCACACTGATTCAAACATGAGTGGTGTAGCACATGCTCATAGGGACACCAATCGCTTAAATTCAGTTGCACAGCTGATTCTGCCAATGTTAAATAACAATTACTCCCAGCTGCATATTCCTAACCAGGATTAACAGCTGAATACAGGACTGCAACAAGTGGCTACTATTAGAGGTAGGGGACCAGGTCTGAAGACCTTAGAAGTTCCTTTCCCATCTATGGTTATATATATAATACATAAAAACTAAATCAAGGTATTCTGCAGGTGATGATAGCTCCTATTGCACAGATAGACTGTAACATCCATTTATTGTCTTTTACAGCTTTAAAAGTCTTGAGGTTACCATTACACTGGTAGCATAGCAGAGATAACTTCCCACCATGCTTCCCTGGGAAGCCAGCAGAGGCTGAGGCAGAGCACTGATGAGGGGGAGGCCAGGTATGAGGATGAGGATGGGGACGCAGCTGCTCCCGCCCACCTGCTCTGGTGTCATTCTCCAGATATCCCCTAGGCCGCTTCTTCCTTCCAGTCCGTCCCACCTCATCATTTTTAAGATTTCCTTTTCCTCTAAATCGGGTTGCTTCTGCTTCATTTTCCTCATCAACAGGTTCAGAATGGCTGTTCCATCCCTGGACACCCTGAGTAAGCGCTAGGCCATCTCTCTTCTTGAACAAAGGCTGGTTCTGTGACATTAGCTGTGGCAAGCAAAGGAGGTCAACTGTCCTCGCTTGCTTAACAAGGGAGTAAAAGTACTAGGGATGACAGTGAGAATGGTTTTGGTCGGTTTTTAGATGAAATCTAATCTATAAACTACAAACCTAGTTTATAGATGTGCAAACTAAACAAGAAGCAGAGGTAATCAACTTTGTTCTCTTTGTTCTTTCAAAAGCCTAATACGTAGGTTGTTTGGGTGTTGGGTTTTTTTTTTCCTTTTTTTAACCTTTAGGTAGAGTCAGGACAGTCCCATATTTTATACAGCAGAAACTAAAGATGGAGACATTAGTATTCTGTGGATTCATTTAGAAAGTACCAATAAACAGGTTTCTGTCATTCATTCAAAAAGTTAAAAGCTCTGTTGCCAAGTTGCAACAAATTCATGGCTAGCTTTGATTGACAGTAATACTGCACATGAATAGTTTCTGATATGATAAATACCTTCACTCGCTGGAAAACAAACTAAAGCATCTACTTCAAAGTGGGTCTGTCCCGTGGAATTTAGGAAGAACTCCTGGAAAGCCCGACCAAGGCACACTGAAATTTGTGGGATTGTTCACCTACTTCAAGTTAGGCAAGTCCTAATGTGAGCTACACCTTCAACATGTATCTTAATAAAAGTGATGCATGCATTTATAAGATCCTCAGCCTTATTCAATACAAGCTCTAAACGGCTTATAGGAATATCCTAAGGACGTTCACAGCCCATATCCTCTCCATATTCTTAAAGGCAACCAATCTTCAGAATATGCTTCAAGGGAATTATTAAATAATCTACAGTGAATTTCAGTGTTGTTTGCTGACCTGAACTCCTCTCTTCAACCTAAAAATCCTTTAGACTATTTTTTATATTCTGGGGCTTATACTCACTGTCTTTTAAATCTTTCTGAAAAACTAGAGCAACATACTGTAGGACAACCTCCCCTGCATTGTCCTTATTTACTGTAGCACAACCTCCCCTGCATTGTCTTTCTTTACTTCCCCTTTTTACTACCTTGTTACATAATAGTAACTTCTTCAGCCCTTCTGACTTTGTACACTCATGCTATTATTTTTTACTTGCTTTGAGCCAGAAAGGTTTATTCTCTTTTTACATGACTCCCCATCCATTTCCAAATCTCAAGCGGTTACTGAAGCAGTCTTCCCTTGTAGGAAACTAACAGAAGACTGGTGAGGGGGATTGTAAACATGCTCAAGTGACTTGCAGCTGGGGTGTCGAAAAACACGTGTATCATACCAATCGTTGTTTGGCCTTGCGTGTTGGACAAGTGGAACATCTGTGTTTAGATAACAGGTCTGTGATAGACTCGGAGACACTTTGTTGAACGTCCTTGAGACTCCTGCCCTGTGGGAAAGATCAAAGCACAGTGGTAAATTACACGTGCGTGGTCTAAGCTCGGCGGCGCCTGCGCTCCCACTTCAGTGCCTCTGCCCGGGTGCTGCTTCAGGGATCCCCTGGTTGGTGAGGTAACGAAAATAAATCTACTCTTTGCATTTCATTCATGGTTTTGTGGTTGTTCCTGCATCCTGCCAGCACCAGCTCACACATCCCTGCTGCTTTTTCTCCACCTCTGAGTTTTTAATACATCTTTTCAGTCACGGTCAACGGTTTGCCCAATTTTACCCAACAGATGAGTTGTGGTTGTTCCTGCATCCTGCCTGCACCAGCTCACACATCCCTGCTGCTGTTTCTCCACCTCTGAGTTTCTAATACATCTTTCAGTCATGGTCAATGCTTTGCCCAATTTTACCCAACAGATGAACAGTTCTCCATTCTTTTCTGGTTGTAGTTCCCCTTGCACAACTGTAAATTTCTGAATATTAAAATAAATACATTTATTTTCTTTCGGGGTTGAACTTTACTGGCCATAATTTCAACGAGTTTCACCTTCTTGTGGAAAGAGTTCCCTCATTAGACTAAGTCCTCTACTCTGTCCTGGTCTTTGTGCACCGAAGGCTGCTTTTGAAGGCCACTGTCATTACTTTGCTTCCCCCTTCCTTCCTGACCTTAGAAAAACAGACACCATCACTTTGTGAGTATTTTTATCCAGATGACTAAAAAAAAAAAAAGACATTTTATTTCAACACAGAAATCATAATTTTATTGGAAATAATCAATAGAACTGCAAGAATTTTTAACTCAGTGCTGCACTATGTATATTTTGTTATTACAAAAATGCTTTCTGGTTGGAAGCCCTACAACTGCAGCAGCTTGAAAGCTGCTTAACAGAATGTCACAAATAGCATTTTTCTTTTTCTTACATACCTTGTGCTAGCAAACCTCTCCACGTGTGGCAAACCTACTAGTCAGAAAGAGGAAGTGGTAAACAGGCTGTAGAAAAATAATCTTTCAGTATCTATAGCAGTCTTTTTTTTTTTTTGCTATTGACAGCCTCCATCTTAAAGGCAGTGGATTTTTCACTTCATTTCAGTTTATCAGTAGGCTGACTTAGAGTTTTGCCATCATCTGCCTCCAATTCATTTACTTCTTCCTGTAATTCATCCTCCAGCTCATAGTCCGAGAATGATTCAGTATTATCATCCCAGTAATCAGCTTCGTATCTGTCGAGTAAGTATTTCTGTGGTGTAATGTCATCATCAGGAGGATTCTTTGCTTTTTTCTTTTTCATTTTCTTTTGAATCTTAGAAAGCTGCTGCTTCTGCTCTTCTGTCCAGGCAACGCTTTCTACATTTCTTGACACTTTCAGTCTTTTGTAGTCCATTATCTGCTTATTCAGCAGTTCATGATCAATACCAAAAAGATTAGACTGCATGGGTGAATCTGAAGATTGAGTTGCTGAAGAGAACACTTTACTGTGGAAAGAAAAACAAACGTCGTAGGTTTTTTCCCTGTGTATATTTTAAAGGGCAATGCTAATTGTGACAACTTGAGTAACATAGAAATAAACTTGGAGTTTTCAGTTTGACTTTATTAATGCATTGTGTTCAGCATTGTGCTCCCTATGGTAAGAAAGCAGAGATACCACCATACCATGTGTCCAAGGACAGGCTGTGTATAAGCCTGTCAGCGTGTCAACAGACTTAATGGGAGGAAGCCAATAAAGCAACTACATTCCAGATAAAACTGCTTGTTTCTGGGAAAAGGTGTGCATAGGTAACAGGGTGAGCACTGGACCTAGGAGCCCCAAGGAAGTTAGACTTCTCCCAGCTCTTCCAAGAAGTAAGAAGCAGCAGCCTGTGCCCAAAACACATCAGACAAACGTATGAATGACAGCGTATGGCACCTTAACCTGGACTGAAGCACTTCCACAAGACAGAAACAGAGGAAGATGTTAGGTGCCCTCTGGGAAATTCTATCACAACAATGATTTCCCCCAGTAAGTTATTTCTTATTTGCACCTGATGAACAGTCCTGTGAGATGTTAAGGCACAAAAGGGAATTTCCACCAACAGACTGCAGCACACAAGTGCAAGGCTGTTGGCTTTGAGAGCATCCAGTCCACAGAATCATTATTCCAATAGATTGTTCAGCCCTATCCCTCAATACCAAAAAAATCCCTCACAGAAGAATGTTAAATTAACTTACTTTTACTTTTTGTTAACTTAGGGAGATTTGTCAGTAAGCTGGTAACTCCCATATAACAAACCAAACTTACACCAGAAAAAAAATGGCCAAGTAAAGGTAGAGCTTTTTTCCTCATGAGAAAATTACCAGCAAGAAACAAATATTACTACTGAAAATTCAGCTATCACAAACACATTGAGTCTTGGATTCTTAGAAATTCTAAAAATACTTCCCTCGTAAAAGTAACGATACTAATACCAGAACAAGTATCGGGTATGCAAGTAACCAATCTGATGACTATGTCACTCAGAGTATAGACATCAAACAGCCAATTTCTAAGACTGTGTTCTGCTGTCACCTTATGGCTTAGCTGCCTCTTAAAGTGTATACACTCTGCTGTTACAAGTGACAATTCAGTCATTCTTCAGAGCTTAACAGAGGTCCACTTATATATAAAAAATAGACTTTCTCTTTCTGTATTTGCAAACCTGTGTTTTGCAGCAAGGTACCTGTGTACAAGAACCAATGACAAAATAGCCTATGAAAATGTGTCTGCACTAAAATATGAAAGTAAACCAGAGCATATATAATAAGACATATTTTCCCTTCATTTTAATAAATGGGTGTAAATTTGGTAAAGAAAGCTTAAGCCACAAAATAAAATGCCATCCTCTACATTTAATTTCTGGGACAATTACATATTAGTTTTGTCCTAGCCTATTCTGTAGCCTCTTCTGTCAATAAAAAGGCCCGACTGATCCTTTTAAAAGCTGAGATGACTTTTCAGTAATGTCTTCTAAAAAGTCTCTCTTCCGCTTTTATTTCCTCATAACACCATTTGCTCAACTTAGATAACAACAATGTACACATCTAATTAAAATATACTTTCTGTCATGCCAAATAATACCCAATTTAAGTTGGCCAACAGAGATGAAAAGGCACACTTGTACAATTCTGATTCAGAAAACGCACCTTGAATCGTTTTGAGATGTTTCTTCTTCTTCTTCTGGAGGTCCAAAATCAGCAATTGACAGTAATTCCTCAATCTGTAAAAACATGAAGACAATAAAGGTCCTATATTAAATTTACTTTATTTACCTACACAAGAAACAGACAAGTATCTAACGGCAAATATTTTATTTTATACATGTTTGGAATATTCAGCAAAACCATTTCAAAATAGCCTTTTCCTCTATTTACATGAAAACGCTTATACTTCTTGCCTGGCAACTTGTATCAAATAGCATCACTGATCCAAGGATTCCTACAAAGTTTTTTTGCCTTATGTACATTCTGAACAGTTGGCTGGGGATTGTATGACGTACATAATTTATTTGGTCTTACTTCAGTCTTGCAATCCTTTCTCATAACATTCTTACACTGAGATTTTTTTCACTTTTTCCTCCTTTCTGCAATTTTGTATTTGTATTACATGTAAATATTGAGTTTCTAACTCCCTTTTAACATAGCACCTAAACAGTAAATGCTATAAATCTAGTAGATTCAGTGCTTAGAGAGTGTACCTAATTGTGAAAATTCTATCTCATTTGAAATTTTTATTCCTACTTTTGTTTACATTACTTCCCTTCTAATTCAGCATATTATTCTAGGAGCTGAACTGGATGGTCCTTCCCTGCCTCCAATACTTAAAAATCAGGTTCAGCTACATTATTTCAAGCCCTTTTATTCGAATCTGTGGATTACATAAATCTGATGATCTGCAAAGTATGAAAAGGTGATTGTCCTGGTTTGAAGTAAAACAGGACCATTTTTGTTCAGTAACTTTGCTTCTTAGCTAAGCCTCTTCTAACTACTGAAATTTGCAGCATATTTTGCAGACACTGTTCTGAGAGTCGTAAGACCTATGTTTATAGCTGATGCCAAGGAATGGTATGCAGAGAGGCTCCTGCTTAGACTCACTGCTGTAACACCCAAGGGCAGCTCACTTGGTTATGTGCCCGTTGAAGGGTCGGAAGCGGAAAAGCATAGAGGGGTCACACCTGCAGGGAGGAGCAGACAGGACAGGTGATCCAAAACTGACCAACAGGGTATTCCATCCCATCTGCCTCATGCTCAGTAGAAAAGCTGAGGGATCAAAGGGTCAGGTATCTTTCCTCAATGGCCGGTGTCTGAGGAGGACTCTGTCTGTTCATCTGCCTGTGATCCTGATCCAGAATCCAGTTCCTGTCCATCACCGAGTCCAGCCTGGGACTTCCCCAGTGCCAGCCGGCGATGTGTCATCCTGGGAGCTTGATACGGTTTTGTATATATTTCATTATTTCCTTTTATTTTATTAGTAATATTTCATTAAAGTAGTTCAATTCCTTCTAAACTCGTAAGTCTTTTCCCCTCCTCTACCTCTCTCTTTGAAGAGAGGTGTGGGGGAGCATCTGTTGGTCTCATCTGGGGTGCCCCACATCGCCAGTGGCCGGTTCGGCCTAAACCATGACAGATTTATTGAGCCCTGCTTGTGCCGCACATTGGGGCATTTTAACAATTCACAGATGGAAAAAAGTTGAGGTAAAAAAAAAAAATAAAAATCACTGATTAGATTCAATGGAATTTTAAAACCACTTAACATTTAAAACGTGGAAGACAGCTCCTCAGACCTCATTTCAATAATCATGTATACCAGGCAACAGACAACTGCCTACCCTATATTATTCCTTAAAATTGTAATTTCATTGTTTAGGACTTTTTTATTGGCCTAATGATCTGGCCTACAAGCTTCTCTGAAAGCACCACTTCAGAAATTTTAATAGTAGCATCCAAAAAAGTTCATGAGGCAATAGCTACCGGGATTCTTTTACGTTGTATGCAAGCATCAGTCTTACTCAAGATTCTTTGCTAAAATGTTTTGGAACATGAAGCAGAAAGTGTATAGACAAGGACTGATATCTAATGTAGATTGGTAGAACACCTGAATGATCAGCTGTCTCCGAATTCCTAAGCATTGTGGTATGCTAAGTCACTATGTTTGCACATCATTATATTTGTACATTGAGTCAAAGATTACAATTACCTCTTTTACAGCTGCAGCTTCTTTGTCTTTTAGAAATACTATTGGGGGTACATTTCCTAGAATCTGCTGACTCGTCAGAAGGTACCTGGCAAAAATACAGCATTCACCACTATAAGTAACAGTACAACACTTCCAGGACAGATAAAATATGTTAAATTAATTCCAGCAGTACTGCAAATTTAAGGATATGGTTTGCAAAACTTACAGTCTGATGGGTATCCATTCAAGTTAGTGCTAAGCAATACATCACTAAAGAATCCCAGCTCTGAATGCGTAACATACTAGCTGCAGATCCCACTGAGTATTGATGATATTAGATTTGTCTCCTATATGGACAGGCCGGTGCAGGTCTTTGCCCACTTCATTTGGCTTCCTTATCCCCACTGTAGGGGTGAGAGCAGTTGAGGACAGAGCCTTCACAGCAGGGCAAGACTACTAGTCCTACACGCTAGCTGCAGGAAGGACTGACAAGGCTCCCCTCGTCTTCTTCCCAGCCAGCAACATTCCCTCTCAAAGAGTGGAAGCTGTTGGGAGTAGAAGAGAGCGTTGTGCTGGAGCGGGAATTACAATGCAGCCTAGGGAAACAGGAGGAAAGGAAATGGCTTTACAAGTATGCTTCAATGCCACCTTTCACATAGGGTGCAGTCCTGATCCTGCAACAGACTGGCTGGACAGCAGCCAGCCCAGGAAAGAGGGAGAGACAGAAATTTCTACGATATCCTCAAAACTCACTGGACCCTCTGTCAAAAATGGGTAAAAGCGTCACAATACATGGTAGCATCCTGACGTTAATTTTTTAGTATCAGTATTGCGAAGAATTTCTGTAATACCAGTCACCCCTTCTGGAGGTCCAAATTGTCCCTAGTGATCAGAATTGCCCAATGAATCTGTAAGGAAATACTTGTAATTGCCAGTCTTCTTGTGCAGCATCATATTCTGGCCTACTGTCGTGCACAGCATGTCTAGCCCACCATCACCAGTGCAATGCAGTGAAACTGCACCCAGGCTCCTCTTTCTTTCTTCTCAGCCCAGTCTGAAAGCACAGAAGCCAAATAAGCCAGCAGGACAATACACAGCTGGTCTGGTGCAGCCATCCTTCCCTGTGAGGCTCATCACAGGAGATGCACTAACTCCAAATATCTAAAAACCTAAATCAGATATAGACTGTTAGAAATACTTAAGAAATGGTACTAGTACATGGCTATGAAATTTATGAAGTCATCTAACTGTTTATCCCATAGCAGTACCGTATACGTGGAGCACTCTTCCGTAGTACACTTTCAACATAACTGTCTTTCTCCGTAGTAGCAGCAGGATTCCAGTACACACGACATGCTGAAAAGTTTGATGCCAGGGACACCTGCAAAAAGACAAATGTTTCTTTAAAATTTTATATACACACACACTTCATATACAACAAAGTCTCTAATTCATGAATAAGCATACAGTGACCCAAACTGGATACGTACATCCTTAGGAGAATCTCTTCTCCCATCCCTCTTAAGAACCATAAATTACACAATGCCATTATAGAGGTAGAGTTTAACACCAAATAAAATTTACATTCAGTACCTGAAAAGACTTTTTTTTTTTATTTAGGCAAGTCACTGCCTAATCTCCCTTTCAACTGAAATTAAACAGAGAAGTCTGTCAACACCTGTATGTTACTGACAGTGCTACATTTAGTCAATGCAATGGTGCTACCATCACAAATAGTCCAGAATGACAATTTATGGCACGCTGTTTCAGAACACAGTTGAAAGTGTAAGTTTCCGCTAAAGAAGGACCTGTGACACTGCCTGGTTTGTGGTCACCCAGAGTTTGGTTTTGATATTGACAGAAAAGAGGATGCCCACCATGCCACTGTAATGTAAGAGTCTCTCCAGTTCTAAAGCCTGCTAGGAACCTGCAGTGCCTCAGCCTCTAGCTCACTAACAGGTAACATTCATAGCTGTCATGCATGCAATTGAAAATGCGTGGTGTGCAGGGGCCAAAGCACAGGTGAGTTAGGCTGACGATCTTCCTTAAGAATAAACTTCTGAAACACAAATTGGCTTCTGAAAGATTGCTGAAACTGACATTCATTGCACCTCTCAGCATCTTACAGAACAGGTTCTCACTATGAGAGTACACTCAGCAGACTTCTGATAACCTATCTGGCTCAACCAAAGGAAGGAGATGAGGAAGAGGGAGGAGAAAGCATAAACTACCCATTGGAAGGCACAGTTCAGCGGTGATCTAGTCCAGAAACCAACTCTTCAAACAACCAGCTGTCTACATACATCAGCAGAAAAAGACAACTCCACCAGCATATTCCCACGAGTGAAAATTGCATCACAGTCTGCTGTTGACAGCGCTACTCCTTCCTAGGGCAATATGGACTGCCCCCAAAAACCAAAGTAGATACTGATTTTTTTCCACCACCAAATAATTCCTCCTTCAGGAAATCCACCACTCGTAAAAAAAACCCACCATGATCATTAACTGCCCGCTTCTACTGCAGGATCAACCCTCCCCAATTCCCACACTGAGTCTAATGTAAGCATATAAACAACCTTATCTAACACAAGCCATTTCTTCATCATCACATGAGTAATGTTATTGAGTGGATAGAAGTTTGATGTATCAGGCCTGAAGTATGATTCTCATCTGTATTACTATTATGTGATCTTAACTTCTGATACCAAAAAAACCCACAAATTCTGATGGATTGCAGAAAGCCTACTAGAAGATTTCTTTTGATAACAGAATTAACAATATTAGACCAGAATCAGCTCAAGAGTAAATCAGGACTGAGTCTCAGTCACATCCCAGTGCAGCACAAACACTAAGCACTACCCAGTTATAATAAAATCTGTACTATATTTGGAAGAAGGCCGTTTCTTTCTCTCTCTCGTGTTGTAAGTTTTTTCATTTACGTTAATGCCTCCTCAAAGTGCTGTGGCTTGCCTGCACCAGCCAGCATTTTTATGTGCAGACATGCCATCCGAGTTAGACAAGCAATCCTCAAAGCCCTAGAGAGAGAGAAATACTGTATGAAGGATACTGCACATATAGAGACAAAAGGTTCATCTTGCCCATGTAATTTTAATCACTTGCCTGAAGACAGAATGAATTCAGCTGGCAAAAACATCTGTTTCAATTATAAATAACAAACCCCTTGTCATGGATGCATCTATAAGGTGCAATTTTTTTCCATGCTTCTAACTAACAAAGCTAAGTCCATCAAGCTTTTATGCCAAATATTGGTATAATTTAATCTTAACAAAAGAGCAAATGTAGAAGAAAAAAAACTGCAGACAACAAACAAGAATGTGGAGAATTACTTAGTTCCTGAATCAGAGCTTCAACATCCCTTTCAACCCCAAGAATTATGACAACACTAGCTACAATTACATACAAATTCCAATTCTTTCTGGAGCCTTGCTTGCCAATGCCATTTTCTTAGGCTTGCCCTTTTTTTTTTAAACAAAGCTCATGTCCCACTTAAGTCTTCTGCCTGTGTAAGGATGCTATTGAAGGACACCATGAGGTATCAACTCTCCCACAGCTGCAAAAAGAAAAGACTCTTGGAAAGATACACTTATGTTGGTAAGACCAGGCTCCTCCTTCTGAAGGGGCAAGGCAAACAGTATGTGTCTGAGTAACAGGAAAAAAAAAAGAAGTCATACCAGGAGAATCACCATTTAGTTAGCCTAAGTTGCATTTGTATTATAGTGGCAAAGGTCTGCTAAGGCAGGTATAACAGTGGCAAAGTTCTCCTGGTGTACAAGGAGAATCCAGAGCATCATTGTGATGTGTTCTGCCACATCAAGAAGCACTGCAGTAAAACTCCTCCTGTACACATCACAACACCTAGGGAAGCTCCTTTGGCGTGCCATGCCGACCTCAAAGCATAGTCAGAGCGGGTCAACACAAGCTGTAGTTTTGGCACTTGCCTTGCAGATTTCCAGCTTGAGATCATAAAGTTCTTGATTAACTTCACAGGTAGTCAGCATCTCTGCCACAGCTTTATGAATAAGACCATTCAAGACTCTGCAGCGTATGTTATCTTCTTTCCTAGTTTTTGTCTGGTCATCAGTCATTAAAGAAGCCAACTTGGTTGGTTTATACATCTTTAAAACAAAAAAAACCCAACGCATTAATCAGTAGTTACAAACTTGTATTAGGCAAGTTTTGTGCAGTGTACTAAGCATGTTCTTAGAATGCCATTATTGCAGCTGTGATGGATTTATATAGGTCTTATGTACCAGGTGTCTCAATAAAGAATATTTCCGTTCACAAAATGTTTGATCTTCCTGTACTACAGCCAAGGTTTCTTAGTTTCTTTATTATCTTGTAGAAAGTTATACAGCTCAATAAGTCCATTTTCTAAAATACAGCATCTATTAACTGAAAAGCATTGCTTGTTTGAAAAAGAAACACAGAAACTTGTTTTCCATAAAAGTAAAAACTAAGCTAGTATACAGAAGTCTTAATCTGGATCAGTTCTCCGCTATGGGTTCAAGACTCTGCAAGAGAGCGTTGGTGCTGGTGCGGATGAAAGATCAGCACAGAAGAGGAAACGGCCGTGGGGAGCTGAAGGGCTTCTCCTGACAGCAGTCCGGGCACGTCATAGTGAAACTGGAGCCCTCCTGTTCATTCACAAAATTCTACTATTTCTCCACCAGAAAATGCTTTTTCCCCGAAGACAGACACAATGGCAGGAGCACAACCTTGTTCCTCCTGGCACAGATAAACACAGCACTTGAAAAGCCCACACTTACCATTTTAGATCCCAGGGCAGGACTGTCATACCAAAACTTCTTTCTTTTGGAAAAAATAAAAAAAAAAAAAGGAAGGGAAGGGAAGTCAGCTTTATCTTTCAGCAGCTCAGAGAAACAACAGGTTCCCTGTGTAACTAAACCACCACCCGCCGGATAGCACACCACACCGCCCCACACCACCCGGGTTTCCGTGCCCGCAATGGTGTCCCCGCAGCGGCGGCGGGGCGGGGAACGGAGCGGCTCCTCCCGCCCAAGACTGAGGCGGCGCCTGTGGCCGGCGCGGGGGAAGAACAACCCTACGGTGTCTGTAGCGATCGGGGTGACGGGGCACAACACCGAAGCACCGTTATCGGAGCCCCGCGGGCGCTGCTCGTAGGGCGGCTCGGGGTGGGGGGTTGGCTCTCCCCCACGCTACCG